CGTTTTTTTCGATGGCGCTTCTCGGACCGGCGCGTGCTTTTTAGGCCGCACGGCGCCCTACGCCGCGCTGGGGCTCGTGCTCATCTGGCACCCGAGCTGGATCTTCACCGCCTTCTTCGCGGCGCTCTTCGCCGCGCTGGCGCTCAACTTCCCGGGCCGCCGCAAGCGCCAGCTCGACGCCATCGGCGTCGACCGCGAGCTCTCCAAGGGCTCCTTCGTCGCCAAGGGCGACGCGCGCCGCGACCCGGACCGGCCCGTGCACGGCGACGACGACGGCGACGGCGACGACGACGACGACGGCGGCGACGACGCGAACTTCGTCGCCAAGCTCGAGCACCAGTACCACGACTTCGTCAACATGATCATGTACACGGAGCACGTCTTCAACGAGGTCTCCGTCGTCCTCGAGCAGGGCCTCGCCATCTTCACCTGGGGCGACGAGCGCATCTCCGGCGTCCTCGCGCTCGTCTTCTTCCTCTGCGTCTTCGTCCCCGTGGCCTTGGTGCCCCCGCCTCTCTTCTACAAGGTCTTCTTCACGTTTCCGTACATCGTCGACCCCCAGGGCCGACAAACGGGTGTGAAATCTTCAACCGGGTGTGCCACGCGTTCCGAGAGACGATCGCTCGTCCAAAATCAGCGAAAAAACGCCGAGATTGAAGTGGGGAATTTTCGCACCCTTGTGCTGCCCAGGTCGCCATGTACCCGCCCGTACTCGAGGGCCCCCAGCCCATCGAGGACTACGCGGGACGCGTTGCAAACGTTATGAATCGTTTGCCCGCGGCTTCGGAGAAGGTCATGTAAGTTTTCTTGTGATTCGCGGCGCCGGGGCGAGTTCGTTGTCCGGCACGCGAGCTACAGAGACTCTTTTGTGATTCGCGAGCGAGGACGCGCGCGCCCCGGCGAGTTCTTGATCTGGCACGTGAGCTACAGAGATTACGAGCACACGTAGGACCTCGGCTCGAAGCCGAGGGTCCGCCTCGCCTCCTTGCAGCAGGCCGCCGCGAGCTCGCAGCTCGCGTCGTGCGAGAGCGCGCGGGCCCCGGACGCGACGACGACGCGGAACGTCGTCGCCGCGCGTTTCGACGTTTCGCACTCGTAGGCGTCGACGACCGTCGCCGCGCGCAGGTCCGCGCCGCGGGCCGCGGCGAGCGCCGCCGCGAGCTCCGGGAAGCCGGACGCGCCGGGCGGCGCCCAGAAGGACAGGTCGTGCGCGTGCGGGACCGCGTGGATCGGCGGCCCGCCGCCCTCGCGGCCGAAGACGTGGGCCACGGCGGCGCCGCGGTAGGCGTCGGCGATGCGCCGGCCCGCGTCGTCGGCGCCGCCGCGGTAGCCGCCCGGCGTGTAGCCCGCCGGGAAGGACCTGTGTGGAAACCAACCACTGGTTTGGGTGGT